GGCAAATGGTTAGTAAAATAAAAATAAATGGAAATAAATAAAAACAACAAGAAATAAATGGCAATAAAAACATAAGAAAAAACAAATGATTAGGAAACAATTGTCCTAGGTTTTGGAATGTGGTTTTGGGGTAGGCTATTTCTTCGAAGTCTCCTGGTTTAGGTTCTAAAAACGGTACCCGAGTTCTCCTTGCTGGTGCCCCCTTGGGCTTACCAGACCCTTAGTCCTAAACCCATCACAGGCTTGTGTGGACTAAGTTAAACTCGAGGGGACACATTCCCTTATGTCTATGCGGAGAATAAATTCACACGAAGACATAAGGTATATGAATCCCGAAGGCTACTCGCTAGGCATATGCGGTGAATAAATTCACACGAATGCGTCGCTTTCACCCCCACTTAAAGGGTTCGGAGCTCGGGTATAGAGCCTTTGGATGAAAAAAGTTTGGAAAACTGAAATCATTAGAAAACGGTCAGTCCAACTATTTACTCGAAAAAATATAACCAAAAGTAAGTAATAAGGATCGAAATGTTACCTTAAAGTTCAAACTTACCCTTTCATTAAAAAGACAACTGGAAATTACCTTAGCCTGACCCACTTACCTGTGTCCCCAGCAGAGTCGCCAAGCTGTCGGAACCGTCTTTCGGTTGTGCCCCGGAATTGGGCTTCGACTTAAAAAATATGGATTGGAGTCGCCACCGATTATTTATTTAAAATAAATAGGTTAATCGGATACCTTATACCTTACCTGATCTGCGTCTTACCAAAGATATGTCGGATTCGGGAGTCGGTTACAGCTAAGGAAGGATTAGCACCCTTGAACTGCCCTTTCGGTACTATATAATTTCCAGTTGTCTTTAATTAAGAAAGTTGTAAATTTAAATTAAAATGTAAAATGACGATCCAAATTACTTACCTTAGATTGCTTAAATTGTACCCTTAGAAAATCAGACACATATTAGATAAAGAATGCAAATAAAAACACCTAAGGTAAAATGGAAAACAAATAAGATGAGGAAAATACAGAGTATAAAAATAATATATGGTGGTAATAATGATAAAGATATAAACATGGGAAAAATAAAAGATATATATAATAGTAATAAATAAATAAAACTAAAAACTAAATAAATCACCATAATCAAATATGTACATGTAAATAATATAAAAAAAATAATGAAAATAAAATAAGAAAATATATATATATAACAATAATAGAAAAAAAAATTGTAACATAATAGCGTATAAAGTAAAACACATAAAGTTAATACAAACATATAATAACATTAATACCATTTATATAATAGCTAAATATAAGAGGGAGGAAAAAATATAATAATAGAAAAAAAAATAAATAATGTAAATAAATAATAATAAAGAAGTAAAAAATAGGGTAAAATACAAAATGTGTACATATATATATATATATATATAACACATAAATGAAATAATACTATACTAATAATAAATGTATACGAATGTATAAAAAACTAATAATAGTATAATATATAAATATATGTAATATAAAAGGTAATTAAAACTAATGTAAATAAATAATAAAAGAAGTAACAAATAGGGTAAAATACAAAATGTGTACATATATACATATATATATATATATAATATAACATATAAGTGAATAATACTATACTAATAATAAATATATACGAATGTGTAAAAAAAACTAATAATAATATAAAAATATAAATATTATAATGTAATATAAAAAGATAATTAAAACTAAAATCCCGAGAAAGGACTAAAATGAAAGAACTGCAGGCTAGAGGTCAAAATTCAAAGCAATATCAGGGTCAAGATAAATCTTTAGAAGCTGCGAGGGACCAAAAGGGTAGTTTACCCTAATTTATTGCAAAACGCGGATCTGATATAAACGGATCAAATTTTTTTTTTTTCATTTTCTCTTCTTCTCTCGCCCGAGAGCAACCCCATCTCTTCTTTTCTCTGCCTTGTTCTTCAGAAATGAAAACACAGGCAACATTTTCCAGAAACCAACCGTCGGCCTCCTCGCGCCGCCTCGCCGACCGCCTCTGATCGGCGCCGGCTGCCAGTCATCGGCGGCAAAACCCAAAAAAGTTTACTTTTCCAAAAGCTTTTTGAATTCCCTCTTCAAAACCGAAAGATTTTTTTAAAAATAGGCCTACCGGGGTGTAGATCTCGAAAACAAGTCTCGAAAAAAAAACCCATATGGTCCTCGGCCGTTCGTCTTTTTGGTCGTTTCCAAGCGAAAAACCCAGCAACAATCAACATGCCAACGATGAAGCACAAACCAAGGTAAAAAAACGATACCTTTTTATTATCTTTTTGAAAATATTGACAAGTGCTTGAACTTTCTTGGCTATTGTGTGTGAGTAGTTGTTACACAGTGATTTCGTGTGTGAATCCAGTGTCAGATCTCCCCTCAAATAGTTTTGATTACATGTATTTATAGGGTTCGAATGCCTCTTTTTTGTGTTTGATTCCTAGTAGAACATTAATGCTAACAAATTTGTTGTTCATGGTTGAGAACTTGCGCCGGAGAACTCGGATTGACGAAAAAAGCTGCATGAGGCGCGCGAGATGGGGTTTTTGAGGCAACACTGGAGTGAGAGTCTGCTAAGGTTTGGGAAACATCCCTAATTCACGTCTTGGGCCCCTGTTGTCACGTGTCCTTTGCAAAACGGCTGCTGTAATAATTGTGGGCCTGTAACCAAAAATTAATATGTATAAGATATAGCATAGTACATACATATAGTATATATATACTATAAGTATATAATGAGTAGCATGTGTAAATGCCATATGCTCGGACAAAATATGTGTCGACAAGTAGCATTTTAGGTTCTTCTTAATTTAAATTTAAGTAAAATTAGAATTTTACCCTTCCAATTTTTTAGATTAAGTACATAATAAATCCCTATTATTTTGAACTTAGATACATTGTCCCTCCCAATATTTCATCCTAGCTCCGTCCCTGTTCTCGTTGATGTGAGCTCTTGGGGAAAATAACTCAGTTTTTGAATTAATCGAAATTTGTTAGAAGTTTTTTTAGTAGATTAATTTAAGTTTGATTTAGGTAATTTTTTATTTAGGTTAAAAGTTAATTGGATCTTTAAAGTTTAATAGATCTAGTGTGATTAAAAATAGTTATATCTTAATTCTTAACGATTCTAAGCTTAAAATATATATAGTATATTTAATATTTTTGACTGATTTGATTAAGTATCTGAGTTAACTGATAACCCAACTTTATAAAATTTCTTACTTTTTGATCAGTCTAACATATGATCTTCCGATCAATTATTTGAATTAAAATTTGATTCAGACTATTAATTCGGCTAAAATCAAATAACGAACCCTCCTAATTGATGTAGAGGCTCTCGAGTCATTCCTATAGTTCGACGTATTCCAATTAAACTATAACTTTTATTTCCTTTTTTTATTTATCTTCTTTATTCATGATTTTTTTTTCCTTTCGAGATTTTATATATAGATTTGTGTTATGGTTCACAATTTCATTTTTTAATCATCGATTATCGTAACATAAAATGTATCAAATAGTAATTAAAGTATTCTAATAAATAATAATATTTGAATACATAATATTTTTTAAACATAAGTCAAATGTTTAAACATACGAATATGCGTAGAAATGATGGAATAAACAAAGTGCAAAATAGAAAGAAACAAAAGAATTGGGGCACGAGACGACGACGTGCCCCCCACCTGCCGCACGCGCACGTTACCCCATGAAACCCTAATTTCCAAATCCCTCTAAAGGTATAGTTATCTTTTATTTGCTCATTAAAGCTAATGATTTATATAAATTTCATGCTTCTTTGTTATGCATATAAATTATATATATTTTTTCTAAAAGTATGATCGATTATAAGACAGTTTTGTTTAAAAAAATAGTTATTGATAATATATATTCTCTAAATGCAACAATTCAAATTTAAAATTATAATTTTCAGCAGAATAATATTCTCTTTAACTATTAAAATCGTTTAACAAATTCGTTAATTTATATATTAAATATCTTATAATGTAATTTATTATAAACATATGATTAATTTAATGATTTTTTATTGTTTGTTTCTTTATTATTGATGTGTTATACTAGTACATCAAACTTTAAAAATCCATCATATAATATTAAAATATTTTCCAAAATAAATGATTTTTTAAGAAAAAAACAAAAGTTAACAAAACGTGATTTTCATTTTTAAAAAAATTAAGCACTCTCAATTTTATTGTACTGTTCACTTTTTATTTTGTTCTTTTTATTTTATTTGACTTGGAAATATTAGGAAATAAAAAGTACTAATTCAATTGAGAAAGTGCCAATCATCTTGGAATATTAAATATTTAGATTTGAACTTCATCAAACATGCATAAAATATGCATTTGTGGTGTTGTTAATTAATATTTTATTTTGATATAAATGTCATGACATATAAATCATATCTAAATTTATTTTGAATTAGATCAAAATATGTATTAATTAGGCTGAAGTATACAAGTGGTCTCCGATTATAAAGTATAGTTTTATTGAGTCATTCGAATATTAAAAATTACAAAATAATTCTTCGATTATAGGGTGTTGCTTTGTTTAATACCATAATTATTTAAAGTTACAAAATGGTCACATGACTGCTCATATGTTTCAAACTCTTATTTTTTCATTAAAAAATTGATGATCGTCTAAACTAAACTTTAACATGTCGATTAGAATATGATAAAATATGATCCTATAATTATTTAAACTGTATTTATAGGTCAGTTCTTCATTTACGTTATATTTAGAAAATTTTGACCAACAATATTCGATCAATAAAAATGAGTATTTTTGGATCAATGTATTAAACACATGGTGCCTACCTCCTCCAAATCAAAACAAAGCACACAGTTTCAACCTAGTGCTTTTTTCTCTTTATTTTTTTTAAAAGAACGCTTCAAAATTTATATCTTAGTGCTTTAGTTTATTCTTTCTCTTTCCTTTTCTCTCTTTCTTCCCTCTCTCTCTCTCTTTGATGCTACCAAAATGTTCTTTGTTTTTCTTCAAACATTTCTGGGCCGTTGATCTTCAACAGAGAGCTTAATTGGTTCTCTTTTTTATGTTCTTCTTCTCACTTCACTTGATTCCCAGTCCGGAATTGCATCTAATTCTTTTTTGTTTTTACATCTCTTGTCTTTTATATTCTTAAACCCTTTAATGGAAATTGTTAGGACAAAGTGAAAACATCGACCTAGTACTTCTGTTTTTTGTAGCTGTTCGGGTTACTTGAGCTTCGAGTTCAATTTGCTCATCCATGGCGAATCTTTGGTGGGCTAATCAAGTGAATCTACAAGCTATGGACCCTGCAGGCAATTCAGCTGCCTTGAACAAACGTGACCTAGAGATTTCAATCAACGACGTGGGCAAAAACATGAGCAACGCCGACGATGACGACGACGATAGGGACACCGGAGACGAACCCAAAGAGGGGGCTGTCGAGATCGGTAACCGAAGACCTAGAGGCCGACCTCCGGGCTCCAAGAACAAGCCTAAACCACCCATATTTGTCACTAGGGATAGCCCTAACGCGCTCCGTAGTCACGTCATGGAAGTTGCGAGTGGTATTGATGTAGCCAAAAGCATAGCTCAATTCGCCCGGAGACGACAACGCGGCGTCTGCGTTCTTAGCGGCAGTGGTTCGGTCGCGAACGTTACGATTAGACAACCGGCAGCACCCGGAGCCGTGGTTGCCCTCCAAGGGAGGTTCGAAATCTTGTCTTTGGCCGGAGCTTTCTTGCCTGGACCGGCACCACCGGGCTCGACAGGGCTTACCGTATACCTAGCCGGTGGTCAAGGACAAGTAGTAGGCGGAAGTGTCGTCGGTTCACTGGTGGCAGCAGGGCCTGTTATGGTCATTGCAGCGACATTTGCCAACGCAACTTACGAAAGATTGCCCGTAGAAGACGAAGCTGCCAGCGGTGTTGGCCATGGAGATCAGATCCACAATGGAGCAACCGGTTCTCCGCCGCCGACAATCAGAAGCGGAAACGACCCGCAGGCAGGTCTACTTGATCCATCTTCACTTCCAATATACAAGTTGCCTCCTAATTTAGTCTCCAATGGAGGTCAACTAGGGCATGAGGCCTATGCTTGGGCACATGCGCGACCACCTTACTAATGATTCCAGACCATAGCTTCATATATGTAAGAGATCACCTAATGTCATAGATCTTTCAAAAATGTTTGTGTTTTCGTATTTAAAGATTTGTGACACAAAACAAAAAACCTAGGTGATCTCATTGTATATTAATTAAACCATCTCCCTTTGCTTTGCTTTATGTTTCTAATAATGAAAGATAATTTCAAAACAGGATTTTTGCTTAACTTTATAGTATTTTTATGTCCGTATTATAATTTATGTTCGGAGTTTAAAATTCTAAGATTAAAATTTGAATTTTTTTATTAAAAATATAATATATCTTACTATTATATCCTACATAATGATTATGACTCGGGTAATTAGTTGCATAGATGATGGACTGTTTTGAATTTGAAGGAACTGTCCTTCATTTCATTTCATGCTTCTGTGTTTGATTTTCTAGTTTAGTAGACATGGATCAACTTATTTTATACTATATTTAAATATACGAGTAGAATTTTATATGTAAATTTTTAAAAGTTACATTAGAAATTTAAAAATATAAAATTAAATCATTACTATAAATATAAAAGTATTTAAATTATATAAAAAATTTAAATTTTAAAAAGTGTGATTATCTAATATCATCGGTATATCCTGTTATATCTATATTTGTGTTAACTATAGTGTTTTAAGTTCACTCTTGGAGGTTATGGTTATGTAATAATATATTCATCCAAGACACATACATGATGAATAAAACTATGACCTGTCACATTTAATATAATTTTATTATTATAAATTACTCTACTAACTAACCTCTCTCTCTATATATATTATATTCACACAGTTTGCTGTAAATTAAAATCTGTTTAAATAATCAATTGATGTTGATTCAAGATGTAAACAGTTTGATATCACTTAAGTAATGTCTTGAGTTTGAGTTTTTATGTATGAAATTTGATATCACTTAAATAAGTTCTCAGGTGTGAGACACGTTTACTAAAATCAAGTGTGATACACGGATCCTAAATTAGTCAAGATGAAATCTTGAAATTAGAGGAAAAACCAAAACCAAAAACAAAAAAAATGTCTAAACAGACCATTTTATGCTATCACCAGACTGCAAAAGCATACAATTATTTTCTAAATTGGAATGCATTAATTCTCTGAATGGAGCAGTGCATTTTGCCCACCACATGTCTTATCTAACCAAACCAGTTTCTTCTAGGGCAGTATGGCTCGTGTCCCCATTTTTCACCTCTAAAGTGTCAAATGTAATTTCGAATATAAATAAGGGGTAAATTATAAATTTTATCACTCGAATTTTTTCTTACTCCTATTTTAATTACTGAAATATAATTTTTTTAAAAATTCAATAAACTTTTAAATTTTAATTACTCAAATTATCTATCAAAGTGTTTTAGGGTTTTATGAATTATGGGTTTAAGGTTGAGTTTTATGAGTTTTAAAGTGATTTAAGTAAAATTTAAACTGATAGAGTGATAGGAGACAATTATATAAGTTCGTTGATATTTTAAATGATCAGATAAATATCAAAAAAGTGATAATTACAACGCTAATGTGACACAATGATGAAATTGTAAATTTTTATATTTAGATGAAAAAGATAAATAATAAAATAGTAAAAAATAAAAATGACATGAATGACACATAAATTCCATATCTATAAAATGCAGTTCACACCGGTAGATATGATTGCCTTATCACCATTCCATTAATGCAAATTAAAAGTCAATGAGTAAAATGAAAAGTTTTAAACTTTAATGATCAAAATAAGAGTGAGAAGACAATTGAGTGATGGATAATTCACCTTATAAATAATAAAATAAAAACATTAAAAAAATTCTAATTAAGGAGAGAGATATATGTTTATTAATAAATCAAAGAATAAGCATAAATAACATTATTTTATTGTAATCTTTGTAGGCATTCTTGATTAGCATATAATAACAATTCATATTATATAGATTTAATTATATTTATGTATTATTATTGTATTTTTATTATACATTTTTTGTTCCCTCGTTATATTATATGATTGTGTCATGTTTAATATTACATAATTTATTTTTAGTTTAGTTATTTAAGTCCCTTTTTTTTTTTATAGAAACAATGATTATGTCACAAATCCCAATTACAAATCACCACTTTTTGTCAATGGCCTAGTATTAAATTAATTATTAAAAGTTTATGTATAATATTATAATTAAAGTCTTAAATTTTTAAAAAATCTAAACACGTGTTATGTCCCGTTAAATATGATCCTTTTAAATTTTAAAATCATTCAATTTAAAATGTCATATTAAAAAAAAGTTAACAAACAATAATATTTATATTTTGTGTTTTATTCTTATACCTCCCATTGTTTTACAATTATCGAAATAAACCTATCAAATCTATCAATCATTTTATTTATGATAAACATTTATTTTCTGTAATTATATATTTAATCAATATGAGACAAAATGGTAGAACGGATAATTTTCTAATTCCATTAAAATAAATAAAATTAATATATTATAAGAAAAGAAAACAAATAGAAAAGGCAAAAAGTTTTCATTGATTTACACTTCACCCCATCCACTACTTTAATTAATTTGTTTGTTTGCTTTCATCAAATTCGATAAATGCATGCAACTTGATCCACTATAATTTGAATTATTAAAAAATTGTAATGGAAGGAAATCATTTTGATTTGATTTTGCAATGACTTTTGCTCAATTGCAATATCACACGATTTAATGAGCACTGCCCAATTTTCTCAGTTCACCTAATTCTCCTATTCATATCAAACCAAATCATATGCTTCATTAAAAATACTTGATTTTCACATCTTTTATTATCAAAACTTTTCCTTGGGATAAATACATTAATTATTAAATATGTAAAAATAAAATATTTATAAAAATTAATTCAATGAACGATGGTAATTAAATATAAATAGATCAACGATGTTGGTTCAAATGATAAACAGTTTGATATCGTTCAAGTAGGTATTGAGTTCGAGATATTGTGTATGTAGAAAGTTTTCGCTCGAATACTCACTCACCAAAATTAGGTATACGACACGCTCGGTCCGGATTAATCAAGAAAAAATCCTAGGAAATTGAGAAGACAACCAAATAAATAAATAAAAATAAAAATAAGTTTATATATAAATTTATAAATATTGTGTTTTGATTTTTAAATAATAATTTTTATTTATTTACTTAAAACATAATATAATTATACACAATATTTTAAATTATAATTTTTGTTCTAAATTGATTAATAAATTATGAAATGTTTTATTTTAGATTTTTCTTTGTATTTTCTATTAATTATTTAATTGTGCACCCTCTAAAATATATAACTCTAAATTTTTAAGGAAATTGAGAAGACAAACAAATAAATAAATAAAAATAAAAATAAGTTTATATATAAATTTATAAATATTGTGTTTTGATTTTTAAATAATAATTTTTATTTATTTACTTAAAAACATAATATAATTATAAACAATATTTTAAATTATAATTTTTGTTCTAAATTGATTAATAAATTATGAAATGTTTTATTTTAAATTTTTATTTGTATTTTCTATTAATTATTTAATTGTGCTCCCTCAAAATTTTTAATATAATTTTTAAATTTGTACTCCTGACATTATTACTGTGTTCGTCCTTGGTTATCCCTAATAATAAATATAACTAACCTAATTAATGACTATAATTACTACACACTAACAATAATGATTGATATATTGAAAAAATAATAAATAAATGTCAACTTATATATCAACATAGAAGATATAAAAGAGAATGCAAAATTCATTAAATGACCTTAGTGATAAAATATAACATTATTTTTTCTAGAGGTTATGAATTCGTACAATTACATCTGATGTATATAGCTTATTTATAGATTAAAATCATTCTAAACCAATACTACATTTTAATTATCTTATACTATTTAAAAAATTGAGAGAATAAAGAAGTAAAGAGAGCATAGAGGACCCTCTTCACATGAATTCACATGTCATAGTTAATATAAAAACACTTAATTTAAGCAACACTCCAAACTCAAAACACAAAAAAAATCAAATGGACCCTCAACTTTGATCAATTATGTCCCTTTATCAACAAAAAAAGAAGATAAGTAAAACAAATATAATCTCCATTTCTGTTCCAATTGTCTTCCCAAATGTTGTCACATTGACCCTACAACTTGTTGTTTTGCACACATAGGCTGAATTTTTCTTCTAGATTGTGAGACTTTGCAATTATTTGAAAGAGAATCCACTGATTTAAGTCTTTGGGGTTAATAAAAAGCTGACCGCCAATAAAATTGATTAATTTATACTTTAATCGAATGATTAAATTTAATATATAAGGCATGTTTAGGTATATACTCGAATTCGAGATCTTGAATGTCCAAGTTCAAGGTTTGGGTAGATTTGGATTATCAGTTTTTTTATTTGTGATATACTATGAATATCAATCCGTTTATTTTTATATTATAATAATTAAATCTGAATGTAGTAATCATAAATGTATTGATAGTAACTAATTTGCTTCTCACAACAATGCACAAGAAGGATGTGAAAAGAGTAAATATATTGGATGTTGAATGTGTTTACAAATTCTTAATTAGTCGATTGATATCATTTTATTAAATTTTTTATTATTTAAATATTCATAACTTACGACACCTAAAGCTGATCTGTCCATGGTGGGGTTTCACCTACAATAAGCTCTAAATATATTAACGGTAATTTGTGTATCTATATCTAATTTAAGTAATGTAAAGGAAATTATAAGTTGATCCACTAGTCCTTAATGTATAATTTAAAGTATAAATTATGAGTGTGAATATCCTGATTGTATATTAAACATTGTAATGCAAGAGATTTTTTAAACTAATTTAATATATATCCTATTTTATAGTAAAAAAATAAATGTCCCCTAGATGATTTAAATAATTAATAATGTTATTAATTAGTTAAGTCCACATTAGATCAACCTTTTGCCATGTTTGAAAATTGGAAGTCCCTAAATTAGTTAGTCCTGCCGCCAACCCATACTCCTAGACCCAATGAAAATCCAATGTCAAATTGTTGTATTACACGAAAACCCTGATTTAAATTTTATATTATAATAGGTAAATTATACATTTTACTTTTGTTATGTTTTAATACTTAAATTTTTTTTATATCATAC